CTTGTGATCATTTCTAAACCTCTTCATCTGATTCAAGTCTGCGTGACAGGTTGGGAAATATGCGGTGACATTTAAAGCTTAACTGACAATAAGATTTTAATTGTTCGACGAAAAGTGACAGAATATGCTCCTCCGGAATAGACAGGATGGCTTTAAGTAGAGATAATTGTGGTCCTTGATGAGGATGGAGGGATAATAAGAGATTCATTCTGTTTCTAATCAGTTCATTTCCAGTGGTCAATTACGCTCCTCCGTGCATCTTTTGTGTCTTCTATCTAATATCCGTCTGCTGTTATTCGTCTGGGCAGATAACCTGAATGAATTAGCGCCATTTCTGTCAGTACTAACTGAAGCTCATTTTTTTAATGGATGATCCTGCGACGATGAGTATGTGATTGGAGTTTGGCTGTAAATAGGGTAAGAAAACGAGACGGAGACAAATGGTTTCACAAAGGAAGGAATGCAGGATTAGCCGTTGAGTGAAGAGACAGCAACCATCAGTCATTATCAGTATTGGTCACTTAAATAGTATGTTGTCGTTGGCCACTTTTAAACCTCTAAAATTTGGGATATCTCTCTCCAGTGTTAAACTTGTTTCTCCTTTGCCGTTTGTAGTACATAAGCTTCCAAATGTCTACCAAGTGCGCTGAAATGCAAATAAACTGCCTCTTCCAAAAACATGGTTCATTGTAGAAACGTACAAAGAAGACTGTTCATCATACCACAGTATATTAAAAGTACTAACTATAAACTTCCTAGAAAAATTCTTTTGTGAAGCTACGATTTAATTGTAGCCTTCATGTGATTTGACCCAGTGAAGATTAAGATCAGAATGACAAGGCCAGGCAAATAGCCATCTTAATTAATGGACTTCCTGCTGGCTAGCCTCTAATACCAACACCCCTTGTGTTATAGTTCCATTTTTGTACAAACGATGTCCTTCATGAAGGTTGAACAAATGACATTGTTGATCAGTAATTGGCTGCATAACAGTTTCTAACCAAATACGGCCAGACGTTAAGCTGTTGAAAGATCACCACAGTGACATTTCAAAATGAGTTTGTGCAATTCACGGTACAAATCTCCTTAGATTATTCATTTGGAGACTTTCTAGTTTCCCAGTGTAGCATTCCCAATAATAGTGTCAACTCGGGAGGCCTATTTATATTTAAGGGGTGCAAAACCTCGGTTTAGAGTGCTATATTAACTCCATTGTATTACAGCGCTTGTAATTTTACGAACACACGATCATAAATACATGTATACCGGTTGATTTTTGTTCTTGGCAAATTATCCCTATTTCATTTCTTTGCTGATTTTGGCGATCTTACAATTCATAGATCACAAAAATATGAAAAATAAAAGAAATTTGTTCCTTTTTTTGTATAAACTTTACTCGAAATTAATAAAAAAAACAGTATCGGTAATACAACCACCCACTTCGACTTGAGGCTCTAAATCGCCTTCGAGTGTCTGCATTTAGTTGTGTCAAGTACTTTCTTCATTAAATTAAGGTGTGGCATCCTTGATCTAAATGTGCAGAGGTAGCGAAAGGGTGTTCAGCGGAATTAGGGAAGGAATCAGCGTCTCACATCGTATTCGCGCAGCAAGTTATGCACTTAAGCACTTAAAAAACTTCGAATCAGCTATGATGACAGGTTGTCAAATCGTTTCAAGTGAGTGACGTGGGATGTGACGTAACATGTGGAAACGTGATACTTATGGATTCCATAATAATCTGGCTAATGCTACTCTGAGGCTAAAAATATTCTCTGGTCTAATCGTCTTTGGTTGCTTTGATTTGTCTTATAGTGACAAATATACCTAGTAGTGCTCTACAAAAAGTGCACTCATCAAACGCATATTGCTGTAAAGGCATAATGAAAAATCCATTTCAAAGGTGCGCTGTGTTAATTTAAAAGTTATCACACTGAAAAAGACGTTAAAAGTTCAACAGACCCGTGAGCATTTACTGGGAATTGAAACCTCTTACGTTTGATTTTCCACGTCTTTTAAAAAATATTCGCGATAATTTTAAGCACAATCGACAAAAATAACCCGGCCCAGCAAGCAGTCCAAGCTCCAAAATATTTGCAATTTGTTCATTTCTTAAAGGTATGATGATATATTTCCAACCATCTAGATGAGTCACTAATTTCTGGTTCAGTAGATATCTACCCTCTTCTGACACTAGACCTCATAGTTTTGTCGTAAAAGACGATTTCACATCTTTCAAATTTCTTCAAAACAACATACTGTCAGTAGTTGATGAAGATTTTAAAGGATATTTTCTGTGACAAAATAATTATCTTATCAGCTGTTAATTTCCCTCTAAACCACTTTACATGGTTCCGTTTTATTGCGTAATGGAACACAGATGTAAAGCAAACCTCCTCGTACAACAACAGTCAGCGGACAGTAGATCACATACAAGATCTTTTGGCTTTGACTTGGTTTAGGAAGCCAAGCTTTTTCGGACTTGCGATCCTAGCCTCTTGACAAGGGATTGCAGGGAAGGGCTTCCCACATAAGTTATATGTCACTCTAAAGCTCATGGTCTAGATAATTTGAAAATAGCAAATAACAAAAATTTATTTCCCCCCTACTTTTTCTAGCTTTCGTGGCGACAGATCACTGTGCAAGTACTGGTCTGACCTTTGGCCTAGACGCCGTTATAAACTGCTTGCCGAACTTTAAAAAAATTAAATTATTTAAGTTCTGCACAGCGGCCAGTGATGTTGGCTGAGAGGAAAAAGTTGTGAGGAAGCAAAGCGCCCTCTCTCGTTTCGACGTGGAGCCTGTACTTTTTTGAAGGTTCTAAACCAATGAATCGCCCAGTCATTTATCATGAGAAGTCAGAGTTCGTAATGCCAATGCTCTACGGTCAACTCCGTCCTTTCTCGCGGCCTTTGGATAGATCCAGGTCTTACTGACTTCCTGATCACTTTACAAGATGTTTCCTGTATCTTCGCAAGCTGACTTTTTCTGAGATGAACCTTATTTTAACATTTTACTTCATCGCATGTGTTGAACATCTCAGAGCACGGTGAGACATTACCTATAGGGCGTGTTAAATCCGCTACTTGCAGTCTATGGAAATCCTTCCGAATCCTCGAAGAGAGGTGTTGATTGGTTTGTGAGAAAGGTTGAGGAGTGAAGACTGAGTTTTACCCCTCTGGTTCTGCTTGGTCAAAATCGGACGATTGGGCTATTTGATGGCAACGCCTCTTTTGGGTGTTAAAGGAATGACACTTAATGAGTTTCAGCTCACTGAGTGAGTGACGATTTACTATTCAGTATTATAAATGAAAACTGCTCAATTGTTAATATGTTGAGTATTTCACTTTATGGAAGCATTCTTCAATATAAGGAGTAATGAAAATTTTCATGACAATTACAGTGAAATTTAGGATTTCTCGTATTTTGTGAGTATATACTCAGGGAATTATGTACTCAATATATACCCAAAGTGGACCTCTTAAAGAAGTGTTACATTTACTTACAAGAGTCAATTGGTAAGTAAATATTATTTTGCCGGTGTTTCCCGTCCTTGTCAGAGTTAATCGGGCATGTGAATGTTTTGTATAATGTGATGACTCACCTTGGGTGCAATCGCGATTCGTCCCAGAGTTTTCATTTTCAAAAGCTTCAAAAGGAATTAAGAAATGGACCGGCTGATGCATATTTGGATGAATGCTGAGTATTTCATAAATCTTAATATGCACTGCTGTCAGTGATTTTGACGCCAACTTGCCCGTCTCAAAATTTTCTGCATGGTTATAAAAAGAAAAATAAACCCAAAATTTAACAAATAAACGACTAAATAACCAGGTAAATATAGGCCCAATTCATCAGGAATATAGTTTGGTTATAAAATGGGCCAATGTGTGCAGCGTTGTGGTCTGTTAGCGCCATGATGAATTCAATCATTCCAAAGAGACGACTAGCCGCACTAGGAGTTAGAGTGGTGTACCACCGTGTCGTCTCTTGGCGTATAGCATTTCCGTAATCTTGTCTTGTTTGCCCTTGATAAGTAGACAAGACAGTTAAACCTCAGAATTGGCCAGCAACTCCTGAAACCACGGCGACAATCAGAGACACCTGTGACATCTAATAAAATGTAATAATGGCCGTCGTCGTGCTAAGAAGACTGGCCGAATAGAGTGACGTTGAGTGATGACTGACGTTAACCCGTTGGCGGTAGAGGGTTACCAAGCATGACCACCTTAAAAGTGCATGGAAGGCTCCGTGCATGACCTGACCAATCGGAAACCCTTGGCGTGACGAGTCTACTGAACTAATTATAGGGATTTACTTCCACTAATTGATGCCAGACATAGTTTTGAGGCTGTACTGATGTACAGCGAAGATACCAATCCTTGGAGAGAACGGTTTTACCCAGAAATGACTGTAAGAGATACCCAGCCTCGTAGCTGCTGATGCACTGGTCACGATGCACAAAACTGTCTTATTTGGCGGAAGACGTAGTGTGTATCGTTATGGTTGGTTGAATCATGGTTGAATCTTCAAGCACCAATTTTAGTCTTCCATAGTCTGTGCCAGGTACAAGTTGATTCTTCCATGGAGGATATACGTCATTCACTACAGCTAGCTCCCATGGCATGGCGTAGTGTAAAAACAGGAGTCATTATACTGTTACAACTGTGATTTTCAGAGTTCCAAAACAACACAGAAACAAATAAAGAAGACATTTAAGTCTGCCTTGAATTTGAAACGTGAACGTATGTTCTGCATAAAAACCGCTGCATGGTTAATATACATTGATACGAAGAGCTTGCAGGAGAAAATTCTAGCAGGAATATTTTTCCGCTTCAAGAACTTACAATCTTGTCTATAAATGCTCCTTATCAGAACAAATTATACATACTATGACACTTTCATGTCAAATCTATCATATACAGAAACAAAAAAAAACAACTCTATTTATTTTGAAAAAGTAACAAAAGTCTCCTCATTCTTTCTGTTTTGTTTATTGATAGCGTTACTGAAGTTTACCGCATCCCGTTTCCTGGCACCAAGACCAAGACGATACGATACACGACATTATGTGGAATTCAGGGCCGCTGCAGTCGATACAGGTAACACGTGACTTCATATCGATGATTTCAGTTAGGGCGGAAAAATCAAACAGCAGCAAACCTTGCGTGTGTGGCATGAACATTATGTCAGCCGTATGGCTTAAAACAGTCACCCCAGTTCAAGCATTGGGGTGTTTACGGTGGCGGATCCAGCATTCTAAATGGAGGTGACACCAAACATATGAGAGGGACATTATCTGTGTCCAGAATGAAATAGAGAGAGTGTTAAAAACTGCACATGAATGTCCATCTTGTATGACCGAAAACACGTAACTCAAGTGTTTAAAGTTACATTTCTGACAGCGAAACAAATTTAGAAGCACGACGAAATGAACCTTTCGCTCTAGTAGTCATTTATCGGTGCAACAGATGCTAGCTATCAACTTAATTTGATTAATTAAGTCGCAACCGGGTCAGTGTCTGGAAATTAGTGATACAATGAAGCAGTTTGCAACTAAAAACTCCAATAATTGGAGTTACCGCCTTTTACCAAAATGGTAATTTAGATGGAAGGAAACACTTACTATGTAATGGCAATATTGATATTGATATTAGGTTTTTCAATAGCAAGTCAATTAGAAGTTGGCATTACAAGACACCGCTGATATAACCTAGTTACATTCTTCTGTAGGAAGTTAATTTATTCAAAGTAATATAGGCTTACATGTGTTAGTAATGTCAAGCATGTTATGCCTGCTCTTTTTTCTATATCCGAGAAGCCACGATTGTTGCAGACCTAGTTATAATCAGAAGTGATCTTGACGTCACTGCAACTAAAAAGAAATTACCGTAACTAACACTGTGTTACAATAAATACCATACATGGACAAATATAAAAATCCTGAATCGTTGAGGTACTTTTTCATCATCAAATGAAAAATTCTTATAGGCTGAAACGTCCCATACCTGATGAAACTCCATAAATCTTAGCAGACTGATCCATAGTCTTATGTCATCTGTTATTGGGTATGTCATCCTCATATTTTGATTGATGTATTCGAGTACCAGTTGCTCCAAGTTGGCGAAACACTGTTTCAACTAAAACTTACAGTTGGTAAAACAGTGCGCCATCACCGTACAACTCTTCTTGCCTTCTAGCTTTCTTCGACTTTCCCTCGGCCACTTAAATTCAATTGAAGCCTGCAGTCACTAGAAGCATCAATTATTATCCCAATGACAATTTTCAGAATTTCTTTTTGGGAATTCCTAGAGTGATTTTTTGAGTGTTGGGTAATCACAGGTACCACAACATAAAAGTCTGTCTCTTTGTGCCTTTGCGTAAACACCTGTCGAAGGGAAGGGGAGGGAGCGGTGTTTGAGGTGGTACAGGACAGCTCAAACACCCCCTTCTACAAGAATGAGTTAAAGTGATGAAATTGGTGGCGGCTGCCATCTTTCAACCTCAAGCCCAAGTCAAGGTTAGAGTTAGCAGTCCATGACACCAGGGAATAATATTTAACCTTTGAATTCCGCTACAATTATGAGAGCAACCAATGTGACATGGTATTCCCTTAAGAAACAACTTTGCCCTTGACCGAAGCAGCAACTTTGTTTCGACTTCATGTAATCACTGCAGAACTTTCTGACCAGATTTATCTGGTCAGAAAGACTGTGATTGTTCATCTATTCAAAATTGAAATAGATGGCAATGCGGTTTTTTTTACTTTCTCGTGTTGCAACATAGATATTACTAAGTACATCTGTTAGGATCTGCTCACGTCAGTGACGATACTGCTCAAACTTTGCATCTTTAAACTCTGAAAGTCCATTTCACTCTAAATTTGTTGCAATGATTCATCGGTAAGAAAACATCCTTGGCGCCAAATGTTCGGTCTTAAATGTTTGTTTTGTTTCCCCTAGACTTGTGTACGTGCATAACTACCGAGAGGAGACGCGTACTATTTACAGAGTTGTTCAAGAATGTTGCACAGGCTGGGTGCAACGTGGCAGGAAGTGCATGACAGCGCCAGCACCAGGTATGCGCCGAATAACATCGTCTGTGTGTGGCATTATTCATCCGCTTCTCACACATTCGGAGCATCCCTTGAGGATGGGATTTAGGAAATACCTTCGGGTGAAAGAGGGGAATAACGTGGGACAGTTTTGAGTGTTGATATATTTCCTTAAATTTCCACTGGCATTTCCTTTTTGAAAGGAAGATTTATGGGACATTTTCCATATGTCAACAGTGAATTCTCCTGCTGCAGCTCCTGAGTGGACCATTTTACAATGTTTACCGAAGAACCAAATTAAAGGACTCTCACACCTGTGTTCACATTTGAAATGTTGATGTTTTGACCTCGACAGTAGGGTTGCTTTGAGCCAGTAAGTCTGAATTCTTGGGATCAAAGTTGAGAATTGTGAAGCTAAACTGGAGACAAGGTTAAGGGTTTGGAAACCCATAATAACCTATTCGTGTATGTATATATTTGTCTGTCAGAATGCACTAACGTCTCTGCATGAGGTGAGTTAGGCGCCATAAATGTATATTATAATATGTCTTGTGCACAAAAAAACACTGCCAATCTTTATTTAACATCTCTAACTTTTCTTACAGTTACCACAGCTGGTACCCTGACGACTACAACACCAGCCACGACCCTAGGAAGTGGTACCAAGAATGAACCTACCGGCGGGCCAACAAAGACCCTGGTGTACAGACCAAATGGGATAACGGACCGTTCTGTAACCAAACAAGAGGTGGGAATTGTAGGGGTAGGAAAGGTGAATACAGAAAGCAGAAACCGGGTAGGATTTGAAATCTCACCAACTGAGCGAGAGCAAGATCGAGAGAGAGCGCGATCAAAGAATGGCAATGGTGATGGTCCTGGCCGAGAGGGCATACATGGACGAACAGAAATAGACGGTACAAGTAACACAAAGATTGATGAAAGTAGTCTTCAAGATTCTTTTCCTATTGATGAGGGAGTTGACCCTGCTACACCGGATATGCAGCCTCCACAGAAAGATTCTGGTATGATGTTCCTGACTGGCATGTTATGCGGTGTGGGTGTGTTGTCGCTAGCTGCTGTCGTCATCTTGTTCTTAATGTACCGGCAACGAAGGAGTATGGATAGCAGACTAACTGGACTTACATTTCTTCAAAGGTAAACCACTCAAACTGCATCCTTAACGGAATTACACGGAGAAAAATAACCTAATGTGTAACCCATTGGCAGATAATAGTTTCACTTTTGTGAATATATATTTTAATCTCTTTTTTGATTTCGCCAGCACAAGAACTAGTTCCTGTTCCTTCCGAAAATCCAAGCTTTTGGCTCTAGCTCAATCCATCAAAGCTGGAGAGGTGAAGATAATCAGAGAATCAACCAAAAAAGGTGTGTATTTATTGGTTTGGACACACATATAAACTATTGTTTTTCCACAGTGAGTACAGTTAAACGTTGCCACTGCTGTCGATTTTAAAGATTAAGAAGCAGAATAATGGCCCTCACAGAACTTAAACTTTTCAAAAGTACAAACGCTAAAGGAAAACGAACTTTATCTGCAGAAAATCACTTGCTTACTGAGAATTGTTCTGCAATCAGTGGTAGAAGGATTAGCTGTCTAGTCATCAGCAATTGCCATTTTAAAGCCATATTTGTGGCTCTCACGCAAACTTAAGGTTTCTGTTGAACGATAAGGATGTAAGTCCCCCCCCCCCGATTTACGCACAGTTAGCTATAGCTTAACTATATACAGTATTCTGAAATTTCGTATTAGGAGCGGTGTATTGCCTTTGAGTGGCAACAGATGAATAATATTAGCTCCAGGAAACCAAACTGTGATCTAAAGGTTTCCCATTCAGTCAGGTCTGGTTCCCACCACCTTATTGATTGACTTCATCAAAGCCCACTCCATCTTTCCCTGAAGTACTCATGGTTATTCACTGGTGGAAACGTTCAAGCCAATTATCTTACCTGTCATAAACAGTTACTTCTCACAGTGATTGGACACAGTCCGGCCGGTAAACTTCGCGGATAAAACATTTGTTGCTTCTATCAGAGGAAAAAGATTCAAAAGGAAGCTGGGAATTTCGTATTTTAGGGAGTAAGGTGTAATCGGATACGCCAATGGCTTGAGAGCCCACGTCAGCAGGGTGTGTTCTCCGTGTCTGTTCGGCCAAGATAATGAACAAGTTGCAGTAAATGGCTATAGGACATGCAACCTTGACTGACATGAAAATGTTCCAGCCCACTTGCACACAAAGCATAGAACTCGGTTATCTAATTGCCTCAGAGGGTCCATTTACGTGAAGACTCGGCGGATGAAAATGTTCACAGTCAATTAAGGCATGAATTAAACATTAAGGCCGTGTCCCGGCGAAACGGGCTCCCAGAGCTATGGCTAGGTCTATTGACTGCGCGTCTCCACACATTTCCAAGGGAGCGAAGACCTAGACCTATCCCTAGACAACAGATTCGGATGCAGCTTCAGTTGTAATTCGGCGCGGCATTATCAAAGTACCGGTCATTTGAATTACATCCTATATGTGTGAAGGTATGTAGATTACAGACGTCAACACACTGAACTTCATAATACACAATTAGTGTCCAAGATAACAGCACCTGTACTCTTTCAGTGTTGGATCAAAGTAACATTTGAGGGGGTTGGTCCTTCAATCAAATGAGGTCACATTGTCTCCGTTACCTTGGACTCAACAGAGGGTGTAATTATAACTTTAATGAATTAATAGGATTTGATTAAAATAAACTTAATTTAAAACCTAAATTTAAATGAAAAACTTCATCTCGTAAAGAAATCTGAAAAATCATCAGAGCATTTGAAATGCGGGCACTCAGATTACGCCAGTGACTCCCTATTTGTGCCGTCGCCTGGTAATTTTTCCACAAACATGGTTGGGCGGACAGTGCAGGTGCTTTTAGCTTAGATCCCTTTGTTACAGAGCGTGTCCGGTGCTCAGCAACAATGTTCTTGAGGGCACGTCCAACCGTCTGGCTCTGCTTTCCAGAATTAGAAATGAAGGTTTCATCGCAAGGGTCTCCGTTAGCTCCAGGGTGCTGAATTAAATTCACGAGGTTCCCCTACTCGTGGCCCATTAGCTTCTTGCTTGTCCAGAGAAAAATCATGTCTGATATATTAATGTTATAAGGAATCTTGCACTTCAGCCGAGGGGTGCCTCGCAGTATGATAACAATAACTAATTAAATTGGACATCAACCCCTCGGGATAGTCGGGACAGGTGCCTTTATACAAAGTATTCAGGAGTTATTTTTGACAATGTTCAATTCAACCATCGCGTCTGTTGGCTCGATAGGATTTTACTGTCAAATTTGTATCCATTCATATCCCTGTACATGGTTGAAATGGCGCCTATGTTTGTTCATGACTGATGTATCCCGGTAGTTGTGACATCCATCCATAAAGGCAGAATGGCAGGCTGAAAGGTAACCAGCGATATGCCTCCTGCTTGGTTTTCTTGTTGGTCTGTGGTCTTATAGTGTCCACTACTGCAATAAAGCAGTTAAGGACAATTTCTCAGCTTTGATATGGTCACGGGTGCTTGCTCATAGGAATACTTTTGATAGAGTTCTTGTTTGCGATCTGGGATACTACGAGATGGCACGTGTGATGGTGTTGGTGTCCATGATGTGATACTTGGATTAAACAGTTTATTCCTGTAGGAAAACGGAAATGTGTTGATTTTTCATAAATTGCTTATAGAAATACAAAAAATTCTTCTTTTGCATGTATTAAACAATCCATTTCAAGTTTTGATTCTATTGAACACGTCGTCCTGAAAGAATGACTCGTATGCAACATACAGTCAACAGATTACGCGTCAACACCTGGTTCGTTACTTCCGCAAAACCTATGAGGGCGCTATTCGAGTTGAAAGGATGAGTAGTTTTGTTCCATGCTCTGTGATGAAGCCGTATTACGTTATCTTGATTCTATTTTTTCTCAGGAAAAGCAAGTGACCACTCACCATATGCAGACATCGAAGAGATGCAGAGAGGAATTAAGTATGATAACTTGACCAAATCTTTGCCTACCATATCGTCGAAGTTGACAGAAAAAGAATCACCCACCCTTAAACCTTCCAAGACGATGACGCAAGGTAAATCTTCTTCCTCAAAGTTGCCACTTCAGAATGAACGCCAGTTACCCCCGGAACCTCCAACTTACGCCATCATACAGAGAGTGGCAACGAAGAAAAAAGCACAAGAGGCGCCTTGGTGTGAAAATGAGCCCCACTCTTCCTCAGAATCCCGATACAGTACCATGTATGCTACACCTGACGCTGCCCTGAAAGGCAACAGTCGCACGATTCCTCGTGAATTCAACATGGGCCCACCGCGTTACATCCTGTGTGAATCGCAACACATCTACGCTGACATACAGCGTAAGTCTAAAGCGAGTACATGGAGTTTTTCAAAAAAATCCCGACCGAAATCCACTGTGTCCGCTGGCGAGAGACCCAGACAATCAAGTCGCAAACGAAGCCGAAGCTTGAGTCGCAACTCACTCCAAAGTATCGTCAAGAGAGGTAGCAATGCAGGAAGTTCCGGTTATAGTTCGCTTCGAGGAAGCAGGGAGAACATCTTTGAGTGTGCGGAAGAACGTTCAGGCTTACCAAATCCAAATATTTACTCCGAGACAATACCCAAAGACATGGGCACAACAGAACATTATGACAGGCTGGACTTGATTACATCTGACAGCTTGACGGAGTACGACAAACTCGATCGAGGTCTCAAGACACCTCGAGGCGCTGGTCTTGTCAAAACATTTTCTAAAAAATACGAGAAACTTGCGATGAGCGTTAACAAAAGATGAGCGCCAATAATCATAAATACATTGAATCTCAAGATGTATGAATAAGGCAAAATGATCTATTTAAAGGCTTGCTGTCGACAATTTAGTCAGTGAACAGAAAAGTCTGAGTAATGCTTCTAAATGCACTTCTTGTATCTCGTAGATGAAAAAAGGCTGCAAGAAAAAACAAACAAACATGAAGTTAATCCTGAATAATCTGACATTTCTCTGATTACCTATCAGTAATAGACATATTCAGTGACAATAAGATGATGCAGGAAGATGCAGTAAGAGACTCGGAAATTCGATAAGAAACAGGAACAGGAGTGTGCTAACTGGTCATTTCAAGGACTGGTACTAACTGGTCATTTCAAGCACTGGTACTAACTGGTCATTTCAAGCACTGGTACTAACTGGTCATTTCAAGCACTGGTACTGATTAAGATTAACTAAGGGAACTGACCGTACAATCTAACCCGAGGTTTGGCATTAGTTGCACGCATTTCCCAGATTACAGTATCAATGGTCGGAAACCGTTGCGATTTCCTCTTTAAAGCTCTGGATTAGATAAATGGTGACCCTGATTTTTGACACTGACGTAGCTTTCAGATAGAGTTCACACTTTTAGATAGTGTGATGCAGTGAAAGACCCCTTTTATCTTGTGGGGTGGACTTTCAGATGGACATGTCACCATTATTTCCTGTAGTTGTGCCAAGATGTAAATAATAACCAAGATGGTTCTTGTTTTTTGCGGATTCGTTTGACAATTCTCTTTTTAACAGTGTTTATTGAGTTTGAACCGTTAGGTCATCAGGTGTGTATTTATGTATGATGTGTTTTAAAGCCAAATTGATACGCATCTGGGCGCACATGATGACTGCTTAGACCAGGCAAGGGGTAGTAAACGAATACCGTCAAATGTGTTGGACAAATAACAGACGAGGGTGTTCAAGCTAGTCTCGCTGAGAAGGTTGAAGTGTAAAGGATAATATACATGCGCGTTCAACATTGTGAATAAACGTCAATAGAATATGCTATTTCTGTAGATTATAGCCTTTACAGATTATTGTTCAGATTATTTGAAATGCCTCGTCTTCATGTTTGTGCTGACGAGAGAGGGCGACATAACAGATATTCGGTATCTTTTCCGTATTTCGTCAAGGCCGATGTCATGTCATGACTCCCTAGCCATTTCTAGGGCTCTACGCAACAGACTGTTTTGGGTGTTTGGTTTACCTCATACCCAGGAAATTTGACCTACATGCTTTATTTTCATGAGCTGAATTGGTAAATATCCTCAGGATGCGAAAATGAAAGTAGAAAATTCCAATGGATCACATGAGCTGTGACCAGCCGGGGTAGATCATGAATGTTGGATCAACAACGACACAAACCCTTCTTTGTGAGTATGTATTTAAACGGGAAATTGTTTCTCATGACCCAGATTGTCTTGCTGAGACAGTAAACTTTGAGCCCTGCTGTTCATTGAAGTTTCATTCCATTGGGTTTAATTTTCAAGTTTATTCAGAGGCATGTCCTGTTATTTTGCGGTTTTTCAAGTTAAAAACACTTGCTTATGTTCACTTTGGATATTCAAGACCAAGATGATTCTTCTTGTGTCCTTGAGTTCACTCTGTTAGAGGTGATATTAGAACACCATGTACATAATTAAAAGAAAAGAAAAAACACACAGAGACACTTAATTGTTTTTTGAAGAGGTCTCTGTGATGTATCATTTTACTCCCACATTAGGAGTTGATTTGTGTTCTGTTTCTTTTATTCTTTGAATATGACATAAGTACAATCTACTGCTCGAATATAAACAAAATAATGACGAGTCGGGAGACTGATCAGTGACGACGCTGAGCCGGGCTATATTGGGGTAGGCTCGACTTGTGCTAAATCGTCAAAAGTTCTCTGCGCCAAATTCTGAAGTCATTTTGTTTTTTGTCCTCTTCCAACAGCGTAAAAAATGCGAAATCAAACAGTTGCTTTTCTGTTGAAAATATCAATAAAATACAGTAGATATTACTGTTTTCGGAGTATTCTGTAAAATACACAAATCTGTTCCACTCGCTGCGCATTTTTTTCTGCTCTTCTCTCTTCGGTTACAGACAGATCGCCATTAAATTAAAGTTCTGTCCGTGAACAAGAAATGTCATGTTACAGGCAAGCCGTCGGTGCCTTTTCTGTTCATACATAGTAACATCACTCTTTCCGAAAAGATATTTCTCTTTTGCTGTAACCAGAATTCATTCAGGCTGCATACAGCCAATGAGAAAAGAGGACAAAGATAATTCAAACATCCACATATTGCTACACGCAAAATTCAAAATTTGCTAATGGGAAACCTCTAGATACCTTTTATTAAAACAAAATGCCCTCGACTGACAAACACAATTGTTTTATACACCCGACAACCGCCCTTTTTGCGATAGTAGTGCAAGAGTAGAATCTTTGTTAGTATACAGAGAAAAATCGACAGTAGAATGTGCTGTCCCAAAACAGCAACTTCGGTAATGCAAATTGACAATAGAGTTTACTGTTATTTAACAGACATTTTTAAAGAGTCAATCCTTGTTACATCTACCATCATACGTGAACTACGAATGAGCCTTTTAACTTTTTTTGTAAATACTTTTGTGTATTAGTTAACTCTTTGTATAAATTATTAATTTGGAAACTTTTCTAATGGTTTATTATATCGACGATTCCAGTATGAGTTAATAAAACAATGTAATTTTGATCTGATAGTAACTGTCTGAAACACCAAAATATTTGTCTGATTCTTGTCTTAAAACTAAGTTTTTGTTTGCAGGAAGCCCAACTGATACGAAACCATTACAGAACCAACGTACATGTTGTCTTGAAGAGATGCCTTCATGGGTTCTGTGTAATAAATAGTTTTGTCAACTTCAATTTTGGACAAAGGAATTTCTAAGAACTTAACCAGAGATGGAGGGAACTTACTTGCTAAAATAAGTGCTCTTTCGAATTTAAAATGTAGGGCCTATAAGAAATTGATACCAGGCGAGTGCAAAATTCTTCAATTTAATTTTTCTACACATCTATAAACGTCCGTCTCTTCTGCATTGACATGATGTTAAACTGTATTTGTTTTTCTAGATAGAAACAGTGCGCGTATAACTTTCATTCAGATTACACCACCTTTCTTGGGAAATTCCTTTCTATTAAAAACAGTGCTGGGTATTTCCTTGAGGAAATGAAACAACATGACCCGAGCTAAATTAAATAAACAACAAGGAAATAAAAACAGACCGAAAAACCAGACACATAAATTCTTAAAATGGCCACCCATGGCTCGTATTAATGCAGTTACACGTTCATTGAGGGCGGTTACAACAGAAATTCACATTATTTTGCGGGATACCCAAGCTTCGTCAGCCGTAAGAAAGCGAGACAAATTTCACATTTTCTGACACTGGAGACGTTTCTGTCTTTAAATTCCCAGGCAAGTCTCAGCCTAAAACCGTAGGGGCCAGCCAAGGAAATTACCGTCTTCCTTGCCAAAACTGGATCCACACCTGAACAGTCTACTGAAACCTCTGGGCTCATCGCTAGCTGGGACCCCGCTCTTTGCTCTCAGATACCCCTTTCTCCAGACCATATTCGGCTCTTCAATCGTCATAGTAGGATAACCATACGCCAGCTTGAAACTTTGCTGTGACCCACGAGGTTGCCTATTTTTAGTGTGAGTGGGATCATTCCAACTCAAGACCCGGAAATGAAACCGATTTGCAGAACTTCCTGAGCAGAAGTCCTGCCGAACCAGATTTAGCTTTTGAGTCATGCCATCCATACGGACTTGAGGCTCAAGCTAGAAAATGTATCGATACTGCAGTAAACGTACACAGCAGCCCTGTGGCTTAAGCAACGTTGAAGCTATAGGGCAGACCCGATACGGTGTTTTGGGGATAAAGCCTCTATGATCTTTTTGAGAATAATGATGAAGTAACGGTTTACCAGAGTTTTTCTCCGTTCAGACGAGAGAAATCTATTTGGCATGATGTACAAAAATGGTGACGTTGAAGAGACGGTTAAAAATTCTTTAAACAGCAAAGTTCCAACAATTCGACAACTCTGTTTAGACGACACAATGTCACATGTTTCAAGGACATTCACTTAAAGGGACGATTTCCAGTGTCAACTTTTCTGATATTTCTAACCACAGAACAACGGTCAATGTTTGGTGGACGCAATAAGACAGCGGTCACGTTGGCACATCTTTTAAAAAAGTACTTTGATAGTCAGGGCCGTATGAATAAAACTTAAGCATTTGTTTTTTTACTTGAAAATTGAAGTATTTAGATCCCTGTTTATAAATAATGCCAAAGTAAAAGCTCATGCCGCGGCCAAGTATTGATGATGTTGCTTTTTAGTCCACAAACAGTACCAACTTCCATGCATATTGATAAAATGGAGTAAACTGGAAACTTCATAGCACAGAATCACTTAAGCTTTGCAAGCTAGCTCCAGTCCTAACTTGGAAGTCAAACACATCAGAAGTGCAAGCTACCGTGGCTGCATTTATTTATGCAAATTCCGTGTCAGATAACAGAATGTGTGTCAAGGCGATGATGTCAGGATATCAATTACCGTAGTTCGTACAGGTTTGACATATTGACGTATTCAGAGGGGGCAAGGCAAGTCGACTCTCGCCTTGAGATATGTTGCCTTATTTATTTATTATTGTATTTTAGGAAATGAAAAGCACCAGAATTCTTGAAACAGTATACTATCACATCTAATCTGCGGGGTGAGGATTCTTTTACGTGGCGAAAAAATAAGACAATCTCGGAAAAAGGGTCCATTTTCACCCCCACCCCCACCCAAGACCTATGGTCGCCGGTGGCTTGACGAAGTGAATGTAGCGAGTATGGCTGAAGTTTGTAAGTGGTGGTGGTCCTCTTCTTCACTTCAGGAAGTGGACCCTAATTGCTGAGGAATACTTTTGGAAACTCTACAAAATGTTCTTCTTTGTTGAATATCTTCTGCTCCTTTCGTAAAAATTTTCGGTTCTACCCTTTATATTCAAGTATAAAAATCCCTTCAAAAAAGAGTGAGTCCAGAGTCAACCAAACAGTGTTTGAATAACCAGGCAACAACGAAAATTTCAGTCATACATAGAATTCTGATCAGAAAGGATCCACGCAACTATTTCCCCACTTTGGTGGCTGATCTAACCTTTATCTGTTATCTAACCTGTGCAAGAGGAAATGGATTCTAGTGAAGTAAAGGGACATGCTTTGAAGCATAAGGCATTACCCTATGCACATTATAAATACCTCGTGGAACGTCATTAACTGTTTAGTTCTACTTCATACCAAACGCATTTATATTCATGCGACGCCGTGGTCTCTTCACACAGTCTGCATGGTTACCATGAACTGTGGCACTGAGGGCGCTATATACCGAAAGAAGTATGGCGTTTCACGTGGTGACAAAATTCCCCTAACTTGTGAATGATGAGTGGGCTTTCTCATAAGAAATGAAAACGTTGCCATGCCTTTCAATTCTACCCTTAAAAAGGAAGTATGACGAAAGTCCTCTTTACATCGGTTGTTTGCAAACACCATTGCCAGTGAATTCGATGGAGAAATGAATCAAATGTTTACACTTCATCTTTTTTTTCAGTATGATTTTTTTTTTCAGTGCAGTAAGATTGACTGGCGCACTCAACTCGTGACCAGCAAGTTGTACTATTGCTATACTTCGTGATTCAAAGCAAGCTTGTGCATAGCGACCACCATCTCTGGAATGGACTGGTTCCTTTGTGCCCTTCTTCTCCATTGAAAACATTGCATTGGTGCAAGGCGTCTCTTATGTAACTAAGCAAAAGCTTGCCCGAATCACGAAGTAAAGCGACAATGTAGAGAATTCAAAATTATGCTCACGTGAGTTTAGAACTCAGCGCTCCAGATTTTTTCTGGAAGGTTTATTGAATTTGTGTTAATATGAACAGTATGCTGAGTACGTGGCAGTCAGAACAAGGAGAGAACAAGCAACCAAATCCACCAAGAGTTGTCACCATCATGCCTCGACTAAGACAGAGATGAGAGTAAACTTCTTTCATCCATTTCTTTCTCGAAAGAGAGGTGCACAATCTTGCTTGAGATTGACGGCCTTTATCATCTCAGGTACTGGACATAATGTGAGTACCATTTCCGTTGTCTGAGTTACAGACAGGTTTAAAGACCTATGCTAAAATCCAACTGGCCTTTCGCTTCTAGTATAATTTCAATGGGTGGTTTGTAGACGTTGAAGTGCATACTGTCTGAACATCTTGAGGATTTGAAGAATGTAAGTGTAAGGTGGCCTAGAAATTTCATGTGCCATTCTTGTACCTGCCGAATCACTGGTGGCGTTCGAGGCACTGCAGTACATGTATTTGCGTTTGTCATCACTTGTTCCCGCTTTCTATTATTCATTATAATACGGTAATACGATTCTTCCATCTATTTTAAATAATTTTTTTTCGGTAAACTGCATCATTTTTCTACTGCGCATGTGATCGATGTAGGCTGCCCCTTGTTGATAACATTTTAGTTTACAGTCGTGTACATCATTGTCAGCAAAGTATAATTGTTCATAATCTACCCCTTCCATTATTAAAACTTGAGTCTTTAACAACCTCGAGTTTTCAAGAAATTTCTTTTCAACAATTTTATTGAGAAAAAAATTCTTGAGTAACGAACCTGTATTAGCACGTACAGACTTGGAAATAGGTTGACGAGGCATTCTCATTATTGGTCTATTATATTTAAGGGTGAGTGAATTCGTACTGAGTTTAGCTCACTTCAGGGCCAGATTAATAGACTCATCTGTGCGGATTGTTGATTTTGGCAAGTCATTCTTCGTCGGGTTCTTAAGTATAGCGAATTAAGGCTGTTAACATGTCTTTTATTTGACTGAGCGTTGAATTGGCTGGTGAAACCCAGCTTGGCAATGATTCATTCTGTGGTTTGCCCATTAAATCCATGTCCTCGTATAACCTCCAACATGGTGTATCTAATAAGGATGTATGAGGTGACAATTATCCTCTGTACCGAATTCCTGGTCCTGAAAGTTAGATTGTCAATAAAACACGGACGAAAACCTCAGAGGGATGGAGACATATACCCCCCCCAGTTTTGGGGCAGATCAGCCGCCCTTCCCTCGGTTTGTGCCAAGCCAAAATGAAAATACCATCATTACGCCATGCAATCAGACAAAAGAAGTACAAAGATGTTTTTTTGTAGTGGGCGTTGGTCTTACGAAAAGCACTTTGTAAGTACATGCTCTGTACCCGGATGATCATTAACGTTGAATTATTCAGACACCAGTTCCTCCCAGAAACTCCTTTGAAATACTGTATCATCCAAAGTATACACTATATCCAATGTTGTTCAAGCCATTTTTTCTTCGGTTTGCTGTTATATTATTTCTATATTTTGACGATTCTACGGTTTCATGTGCATACTAGTCGAGCTTCTGTAAAAACAAAAGGTAACAGCAACAGCAAACTTTGTTTTAGTTAAATTTGAGACATTTGTGTAAAACACGCCCCCATCGAGTCAAGCAAGTCCATGCTAGACTTGCCACAAATCTACCTTATACAGACCTTTTAATCATCAAACCACACTTCAAACACCTTCGTGTTGGCCTTCATCCATCTCCGACTTGCACAGGTCAGTATGCTGTCCCACGCGGTTTTAGCCGCACACAAGTCATTCTCGCCGCTACCGGCTGTACTTGTGCATGTACCCCTCTGTACAGGATGGAAGGGGAACGAGTGTAAACGCTGACAATAGACGTTTCTCACCTGTTGTGTGAGACCGTTCCCTCGGGTCAACGGAGCTTTTCAAAACCCCTACAATACGGGTGTACCTCGCTGCCTTTCATGGGACACGGAAGTTTTGGGGTATAGTCAACAGTAAGTGAGAACAGCGTACATGTACATGTACTGTACATGTTCCATGCATAGTGCTTGTAAGCCGCAGTGTCATCTGAGTCATACCTCGTTCCCAGCACTCATCCCATCGTACACGCGTATTTAGCCTACTAGCAAGCGATTTAGTAGTTCGTACGACACAGCATAGGCCTATGATTCGATTTGACATTTCTGAGGGACGCTAACAACATGCGCTTTGATGGTGGGCTGTTTTCTTAGTACCAGCCGGATTCTATCGAAACATCGGAATCGACACTGACTCATACGTCGTTGTCCTGTTCTCACATCCCACCACCCAGCGTCGTAGCCATATTAAACGTTGCGTTGCAAGTGTAAATCTTTGGTGTTCGTCAGGACTTGGTTCCTGTAGTGTTTGCTATGTACATTGTTCATGTACGTACATGAGTGCCATTCTCCTCGTTAGTAGCATACTTGACCAACATCATCAGGTGTTGTCAAGGTATATGGCGTTGTGACTTGGACTTTGGCTCCAGCTACGGCCAAAACAACAGCAACTGTGTGTAGTTTGGAAGAATTTGCTCGTTGATACACTCGTCGTCCACAAAAACTTCCTAAATAGCGACCAGTAAAAGTTGAATAAATCTTCAGATATTGGGCTGACTTCGTTTGGCGGTTAATGTCATTTTGGAAACCATTAGCATAGCATCAGGATTACTTTATCAGAGATGGAATGGCCCGGTCTCCACGGAATCGCACGACACTGTGCTTGTTTTGGAAAGATTTTCTTCGTAATCACAGTTTTGAATTGCGTGATTTTGTCTACGGCGCAAACTGATGGAAACATTGGGCTGTGTTCCAGTGTCGAAAGGTAGGCCCAATCTAAACAAATGTAGTTAATTATTTTCAATTTCAGTGATGAATTAATTAATTGCTTAATTCAAAGATTAATTACTAGATTGGATTTTAAGATGATGAAAGCCTTTTCTCAGCGTTACTAGTTATTCGAAAAGTATTGAAATTTCTATCTTGGTATTGGAAATGAAATACGGTTGATTTGAAGGGTCTGAGTTACGAAAGCAAAGAAAGGGGAAGAAGAGATTCTTATTGGTTGATTAATTCACATAATGACTGTTAAATACTTCTCCATGATAATTGAGAATAAAATTTCTCTTAACCTGAAATACGTATTTGATTCCTCCATACCTTCCAGTTCTCTATTCATAGTTTGTTGTCCCCTGCAACCACAATTCTAAAAGCAACTGTGTTTTAGTTTACTCTCATCCCATACAATTCCTTATCTTTCCAACAAACCTTTTCTTATTTACTGTGTCCAGGTTGTTTAAACTACTGGAGATAAGTGACAGTATTTAAAAGTTCATAAATGTTTGAATGTTAGTTGAATGTTTTGAAAAGGTTATTTCCTGTGAGCGATCTTTGACGGTTTCTAATGGTCACGAATGTTTTTATTGTGACAGTAGTGACTTTATCTAAACTATTTCTGTGTTTCTCTTCAATCGCCTTCACAACAGAGCAACGGTGACATATCAAGAAACTTATCAGGTTTCAAGATCCCATAAATCCTACTCGAAATGTGGAATTTGGGGTTTGTCACGGTGCACGCGTTACAGGTACGTTGGAAGGCTTTCTTTAGGATTACATAGTCCAACTAACTCGTTTTAAAAATAAGTAATGCAGAAACCCTATAGTTATGATGTTTTAATAATTGAACTGGGCTGGGACTTACCTGATTGTAGATTCTCATAATGGTCGCATAGAATTAGGAAAAAATAAAAAATGATAGAATTCCTTTGTTTGCTCTTTCATATATATGCGAACCTGATGCATTTCCAGGAAACATTTTGACCACTTATTGTTTTAAGTTCAACGATTAAATCATACTCTGTGTGTTTACATTGTGCCATTTTCTGATAAAATTCTTTGCATTCCGTAGCCTTTTTTATATACAAGCACAATGGTGTACATTTATATCCACACCATAAATTGGAAATCATTATTGTCGATGAATGTTCCTCCCTACTTCATTATTAGAGTTGTGTACTCTACTCAGACGAGAGTAGCTTACCGTGATAGTTACAACATCGTATTCACCTGCTGTAACGGTTGGGTGATGCAGTCTGACGGATCATGTCTACAAAATACATCAGGTAACTTAAGAACTGAATAAGGAGCCAAACTCGGGAAGAACTGAGACATTACAAGCAAGCAATTTGAGTCATTCCCAAACCTATTCTTCTGGCGAAATACCAAATGATTTAAAGAATTCAAACTTACTGACTTTACTCTACAAAGATGAATCGCATTTTAAAAACAGAGAAATGAGAGAGAAATTAATTAATGTTGTTCGTTATGATTGGGATGGTACTCAACTGGATATCATATCATGAATGTATCTTTGGAATATGTAAGTTTTTGATAAATATGTTGTCAAAAAGGAGATAAAAACGTGGTCGTGGGGTTACTGTGCTTGCATTAAAGAAAACGTGAACATTCATTCCATTTTGCATTCATTGGGTCCTATTTTCCTAAAATTAGAGGAAATAACAACTCAATCACAGCTGACGGATGCCTTGACTCCCTCCAAGGTCGATGGAACCACGCCTACGCTCTCCAACGACACAGCAGTTTTCGTCCCAAAGGGGTCACCCTCGTCACCATCCTTTGTATCTGGAACTGTCTCTGGATCGCCTCCAGGGAATATCTCGAAGGTTGATGGGCCCAGGACCCTGGGAAAGGGTGGGGAGTCACCACAGGGGTCTCCGACAGATGGTGAACATATTGGGATGATCGGTGGCTTGGTTGGAGTGGCAGTAGCTTTTGTCGTCTTAGTGTCACTGGTTGTCGTCTTTGTTACAAAGAGAAAACGTCAAGCAAGAGATAGGCGGTAAGCACGCTCTTTATTTTTGTGACTAAGCAGTTATATTTTGATGATTAGCTCATAGTTTGCATTGTCTCATACATGATTGCTATGGGAAAGTAATAATGAATGGAACAAAGTGAAGTGAATACATGCACAGCATTAATGAAATACGTGTGTTTGTATTATAACAATCACAGGAAACAAATAAAGGTGGAATATCTCATGGTAACACTCGTACAAAATGGAATTAAACTCTAGAAAAACGACATAATGCTTCCCGTTTGTCTTTATTAAGCATAGTAATAATCGATGTTACTTTAATGAGTGAAATAGGTCTAAGAACTCTGAACATAAAACAAGCTCCAGGTATAGGTTTACATAAGTTGTTTTTACTCCAGGTAATCGAATAAATTAACTGCTTCAGGGTTAGACTTGGTTTTAATTGAATAACAGGGAAGGAAATGGTCATACTGGAAGCGGAAAAAGCAAGAATTAAGCTAACAAAATCTCCAGCCTTTAGGACTGCTTTGACACGGCATATCGAGTTGATAAGCGGAGGATGTCGCTACATCGCTTTTAGTCTTGCTCCCTTTGTCCACACAAAGAGCAATTCGACAGTGGCATATTGGTTGCAGGGGCAAACTAGATTTTTTGTTCACAAGAGAATTTCTTAAGATCAGGTAATGGTAGGCCCTACCGTGTCTAAAATGCTGGTACTTTCAAATACTTAAAACGGAGGGGCTTGTCCCCCCTTGTTGATACACCACTGCCTTTCAATATCATCGACTAAATCAATGATTGAGAGGTATATTGATGGGATGCAGCAAATGTCGCAAATGTAAATGATATATTTGTTGACACTGAGAGAATACGCTTCCATGTTGTTTTTCGTTTATCAAAAGCGTAGCGATTTCTGCAATGTTTTGTTCCAGACAAGGGGATAAAATAATCCATTGTTTTTAAGAAAGTCTTAAAAGTTGTGTCAATATGAAAATCCCAAAGGTTGGTCAAAATTACCTCGGAGTGATTATGGAAGCAATTTCATGCGATTCGCGTTAAACCAAACGTACATGTATGTGACCAACTTTCCCCCAGTAAATAAATACATCAAAACTGACAAAATTGTTTGACGTTTTGCTTCCATAGGCGAAAGTCCGATCCTGCAGTTGTCTTTCAGTTATTAAATGCCAACTCTCCCGGTCGAGGTAGGAATTTCCTTCATCATGATGAACAAAGTATCCTAGACAGAGTTTTTCTTTAATGTACGTCCAATCAAATTCCCCTTTCCCGTAAAATCTTAGCATTAGACTTGCCTCTTGTATGTCTTGTTTTTACGCATTATCTTTGAGGGTCTTGATATTTTAAATAGTTCTTTGTTAATTACAATGAGTTATTTTCACTAAATTTAAATATACTTTTCAGATAAACAGAAGTAGGCCTATGTGCTTCCTTGTTAAACTTAATTCTGAATTAGCAAAGAGTAGTGTTTTTCTTGGAGACATAGTTACTGCATTGTATACCTGCAGTGTTTTCTTGTTACTGTGGGATTATTTTTCGTTTATTGTATATCATAGTTTGCTAGAGTTTCTTGGTTTTAAAGCTCCGTGATCTAATATAACCATAAGCTTTCCCGAAATGTATAATGTTCAAGTAATCATTTTTTTCTTCCATCAGCTCCAACCCCGGACATTTACACAGAAATACCAGACCGTGAAGGCCATACTAATGCTGCAGGGGATCAAGCAAACAGCACCCGCACAAAAGACGTGTCATTCGACGACTACGACATTGCTTTCATAAACACTAAACAGCCGTCTGGTCTCTCAAACACATATCAGGACCTCAAAGAGGCTACAAGTTGTGGAGATGCGCCCAGTGAAGCTAGTGACGGATCACCAAAAATGAAGAAAGTCGGCATAGAGATTCGCCTAGGACCAAACGGGGCTGTGTTCTCGAAAACATGCGACGCAGAGAAGAGTAAGGAGGTAGTTTCGCCATATCAGAACGTACCCGGGTTGGATACAGTCGTCAAGGCGCCAGAGGTATTCGACACCATGGGTGGAAATATCCCCACAGATCCAGACGATGAGGCATACAATATGATCATCATAGGACCGACCACAGAACAAGGCCCATACGACAAACTGGACAGACAGCGTGGTGTATCCCACCTTACTAGAGACGATCAGTTGGACACGCCTATACCAGCAGCTCCTGGTTATTCGACACTTGGTCCTGAGAGTCACCTTGGTTACGATAAGCTTGAACGACACGAAGCCCACGGTGTCGATTCTGAGAGAAAAACTGGTATCGTTGGACTGAATACATACGATGAATTGGGTGCACAGGGTCGATCAACGGACTATGACAAGCTGGCTCGACGATGCTCCATTGAACATGGCTTGAATGATTCAGGAAATAGAAATGGAACTCTCAACGGCATACCGAACGGTAACTTAGGCACGAACCAGTATGACGCCATTGAAATGAAGAAACCGGCAGACGGGGAAATTTACGAGAACCTCCCAAAGAAGAATGTCCCTGAAGGACTTACTCTGAAAATGCCAGCTTCGGGCTTGGAGAATCACGAACAAGCTTTAAATACCGATCATAACCTTTCAGCATTTTCACCTCCGGTCGTGCGTCCTGTCTACGATGTTCTGCCAGGAACACCTCGCATGCCTAGTGCACAGGTTTACGACATCTTGCCTAAATCACCCGAGCAGAAAGTTGCCACTCCCGTGTATGATACGCCCCCTGCTGTTCAAAAAATGATGCAGCGGGCCAGCGTTGAAGAACCGACGTCCCCCTTGGTTGGGCTCAGACCTGTTTACGATACGCCCCCAGTCAGGTATGGTAACACCTGCCCTCTACAGTTTGAAGAAACTTGTCCATTGTATGAGAACACGCCCACAGGTGGTAATTAAGAGTTTTCTTTACCACTTGTGCAGTGTTCCTAAATGTTGCAATAAATGTTTCTAGAGTGGAAACAGTCTAGACAATCGGTAGATGAGCAATGTACAACTCCTGTCATTGTCTTTATTGTTTGCTTCGGTTCTGGAACATTTGCGATACAAACAGATCAAAGTATGCTCTTAAATTGTAAAACGAAATCCCGTGAATTTACGACAGATAATTTGGAAGCTATGAGAGCCAACGATTTTCTGTCAAATGTATGAGCAAGTAAAGGATAGGCCTAAGTCATCAGTTGTCTTACTCTTTAAGTTTGTAATTACGGTGAGTGTAAATTTTACGGGAAATTATTGTCACCCGTGGCTTCAAGGTTCTTTTTCCTAATTTAATGGAAAATGCTTTTGCAGTGTAGCTATTATATTATGGAAGCCATCTTGGGCTCTGAAATGCCAATTCCTTTTTATTTCTCGTCATTATAGTGTTATGTATTTTACCAAGCATCAACAATGTGCAAAACGCAATGTGCTTGTATTTGGCAAAAGGAAGTACAATAAGTGAACTTGACAAAGTGTCAATAATTAATGCTTTTTGTAAACGTATTTCCCGGCTCAGTTATTTTCATACTAGAAATTTTGTAGAACTGTTTACATACAGGTTATGTGAAGGTTGTTTCCTCAAATGGAACGTAAGTGCAAATCATGTAAAAAATGCGGTCGATTAGTCACGTAATCTTTAGTTTTTTACTATTTTTGGCCATTACTAGGGTTTGCTTGTGGACTAGTAAGACATATTAAAAGAAAATTTGTTCAGTTACTGGCTAAAACAGCAGCGATATATTATGGTATAAAATGGACTGTAGCATGGTTGTTGTAACACGTGTCAAGACCGTACACTACTGCATGTTTCTTCACTTGAGGTTAAAACGGGAGAATGTTACCACATTTCGGTCCTCTAATTTTTAGCTGTAGTTAGGAATATTGTATGCTATTGAAAAAGTGTTCGATTGCAGCCTTTCTAGTATTTGTAGATCGGTTGTCCAAAATATCAAGGTTAAAATTTAACTTGATGAATTAGTTCGTGTGATCTAAATATCAATCATACCGTAATCTCAGATAAATTATATAACGACCCATAATGCAGTGAACTCTCGTGACAGTGATAGGCGAAGATATCACAAGAGAATTTTATGATCGTGTGATTGAGGACATTCCTTATGGACTCACTCTTGTTGATTAACCATTTTTTAAATCACAACTCACATAGATTACCTTACTTAGTATAATAATCAATCGTTTTGTTTGTTGCTCGAGTTTTGTTTAATGCCATAATCTGCAATACTGAATAATTGAAGAGTGTAATATTTTTCACCTTATGGTGGATTTAAACTAAATTGATGCAATAGAAAGAGTTCGCAATGCAGTGTGTCGCTAAGAAACCATAACTAGACCTTTTTCTTAGTGTTCAGTGTCTGTATACATGTTGTCTAAGTATTATTTTATGCACGTGTCAATAATGACGACAATTCTCAACGTATACGGTAAAACCACTCTGCATTTTGCTGTGAGGAAAAAGGGAAGCATTCTGATTTGTCCAAATATGGCTTCCTACCTTGATTTAGTAGCGTAGCATTTAACCTTGACGCTTGGCAATATGTCAAGTTTCTTCCCTCCAGAAAAATCCTGCCAGACTAAGTAATCCGACTCTTGTTTGCCTGGAGACAGTCCATGTAATCTGCCTTTTATCATTAGGGAATGAGCAATGCGTATGACGGAAGCGTAATTGCTGGCTTTTTAGTAACAAACACCCTCGGTCCATCCGGTTTGTGTGAATCAAACACCGTGCATGGTACAAACCCAACCCGTATAAGTAAGTAAAATCACAGGTCTGTCCCAAGATTCATGCTCTGAAGTCATCGTCATTTGACAGTTGTCCAATCTGCTGTCACAGTGCCATTACAATGCATGTATACTTATTTTGGGATGTGTCACAAGAACTCCACGTGTAACCGCGGGTCATATGCTTCACCATTTTCTTGTCCTTTAAGGCAATTCTGAGCGTTTGTAGCACGTGTACTCATTTTCTCGTCAGTTTTCAAGCAAATCTCCGGATGAAAAAGGGAGAGTTCACACTAATTTTTTGTATTTTCACGTTTTGTGTCCAGTCTCAGATTGCTTATATCGCTTCATGTACTGTCGGATTTATATCAATATACATGTAAATGTATACTTTTCGTTATTTCGTTCAACTTGTCAGCTTTTTAAGACGTTTGCCTCTTTTGTTCTTGTGCTAATTATTCCAATAATACAGGGAAAAGCACTGAAGTTAATGTTTAATGATATCGAGGAGATCCTCAAATTAGGAGTGTTTTAATAAGACGTCAATGACCAACTCAGAAACTAAGTAATTAGATACTAATGAATTATTGTCTTCCATTTATCTAGGGCAACGGTATCTCCTCTTTTTGCTAGTTTTCCGTATAATGGACGGAAAGACTGAAAAACTGTGCCTGTGGAAATGTCATGATATTTTCTAAATGATCAGTTACAAAAATTCTAGAAGTTTTATAACATAATGCCAAATCAAAGTTGACTTTGAATTGCAGCGAAGACGACGGAGTCCTGTAGAATATAGACTGTATTTCGAAATAATTCAAAGCTGTTTTATCCCGAGGCTATGAAGTATACTATAACTTTTTTGGCAATATGAATTTATGTGCCATTCGAAATAAACAAAAGTAGTAACTTCTTGGTGAATTAATTTAAAAGAGCTTTGACTAATTCATACTTAAATGCTGGCGAGTATCGAAATATTTTTTAAAAAAGCTTTTAACTTTGCTGGAATTGAAATATAATGAAGCATAACATACATGTACTTGTAATTGTATTTAATCCATCAGTTACAAATCTAACCTTTAAATAATTAGAAATAGTGGCATAAGTGTCTATTTTTGTTGAGTCCGGATTAAACGCTGATATTACAACTGCGCTGACGTATTTTTACATTTTTTTAGTTGCTGACATTTGTTGCGAAGTATTTTTGTTCTCTCTCGGCACCCTTAATATTACATCAGTTTCAAGAATGTATGGAAATCAGCGAATCAAACCTTCGTAGAAAATATTACTGACGTGGAAAGCTGCGCCAAAGGATGCTCGGGCAAGAAACCATGTTCCGTAAAGGAGTTCTTTCATGTTAATTAAACAGTGTGGAAGGCTTAATGAGTTTTTCTCATATACGCGAAGCAGAAGAGACAGTTTTTGCCATACGCATAAATTGATACATTTCTGCTTAAAGTTAAGAACGTGTTCAGGTTAATTGACGGCCATAATGCTTGCGGATAAGTGCATCCCTTTTCTGATATAATGACGAAACGCTCTGGACGGATATTAGAACCCGACAGCTTGTCATCACCATGTTGAAACCCTAAACTTAGGTAAATAAAACCAAAGTTTAAAAAAAAACGCCGACCGAGGAACGTGAATGTTCTGTGTCATATTGACTTTAATCGGGAAGTAGGTTGAGTGGTGTCTCTTGATTGTAAGCTAACCGTGTACTAAAGGTTGGTCTCTCACAAACTGGAACCCAGAACAATCAACTTTATCAGGATCTTCGCTGGTTTCCGTTTCCTGTTTGTGTCATTCAGTGGGTTTTCACTGCCAATTGTTTTATTCATGACTTTAACTGCTCTGTTCCAAGATTACAAAACTACATCTCTAGCATAACAGAACTGTTGATAGGATAGGATAGGAATTTCCATCAAAGAATTTCTGCAAGTTGACAATCGTAAGTTACTGGAAAAAATAATAAAAGTGCACCTGATTTAATAAAAGACAAAATGCTTGAAGAACTTTAGAACACGATGAAATTTCATATCGTTCAGTTTAGCAAGATTAGATCGGATTTCATAGACCATCTAGAAATCGTAATCCAGATTATATTGTTGGTGGAAAACGTATTATTGAATTTGTTGCGAATATTTTGTTTATTTTATTTTCCCTAAAAACATGGAGTGAACACTGCTTAAACTTTTCTTGGAAGCCACGTGGCCCAACAATTCAGCAAAATATAACATGTGACCACCAGATTAAGATCAAATTATGCAAATGTCATTGTATAGTTGTAAGCTAGAAAGACTCACATCACTTTACAATCCATCTTTGACCTACGGTTAGCCTACATGAAACAGAAATGGGTACAAATCAGTGTTTAAGCCAGATTAACGTTGTGACGAGGGCGCTATATAGTTCAAATGTTGCTCCACGCTGCTCCAGAATTTGCTAAGCCAATTCAAAGTGAGGTCGCCATCTAAAATGATATGGTTAGCTTTTCGAGTATGCATGGCCTTTTCATGCATGCACAGTAACAGAGCAGCCATTTATATCTTTGATTCTAGTTAGCAAGAAGTGCATGAAGTTCATTTCTCCAAGTGATTTGAATTTATTCGTAGCGTTTTAACTAAGCCAAAAGTCAGGATAGATAATGTTATCTGAAAATCTCAATTGTTTAATGCACTGTGACTCTTTGGAAGATGAGCAGAAACACTCTTTGACAATGTTCCGGATTTAATTATGAATAGTGCAAGACTCTCAGTGGAATGTTTCCACAGATTAGGACTTTGAGTGCATGCCCGAGCAGTTTTCGTCCCCTACCATGTAGTGTTTTCATTTCCTGTGTTGAAGGTGACATCATTATAATTTCCTTTGAAAACCACGTTGCCATTCATACGGAAGATTTATGTTCATATCGGTTACTGAAGTCTTTGTGGTCTGTTGAGGGCGACCGTTTTTTCTCAGAAACATGGTTGAATAGAATTATTGTTCTCTACTCTAACTTTCCTTTTCAAGCTGAACATTGCTGGTATTGATCAATGAATGCTATTTGCGTCAATGCAAATTTCAGCTCCAATACATGCCCTCGTAAAAACACAAAGATGAAGACTTTGCTATCCATATCATCTACCCAGTAGTGAGTCATCTTATTCATGAATATGTATGTTTTGATCAGAACAGTTTTGTAGCTGAACAACAAAGGGTAACCAGTATGATGGTCATTGATGCATGTAGTGACCAAGCATGACCTAACAATTGCGTGTTTGTTGTATACTAAGGCCTACCATTTTCAGCATACACCAAGGACGGGAATTAGGCGTTTGGTTCTAAACAGAACTGAAAATTCGGAAATACTTTTGAACCTCTGACTCTGCGCCTGTTCTCGAATCAGTGGTGTTAGTAGAGTGAACTTGAAATTTACCCGTGGAATACGACGACTGTTACGACTAGACAAAATGCTTCAGTTGTGCAACGTGGACCACTGTACGTTATTTCGATGTTCTACTGAAATGACTGCTTTGATGTTGGGTTCATAACATCCTCAAAATTGAATTCGAGGAAGTGGATAGCCAGAAGGGAACAAAGATAAAGCAGAATTCATTCACTTCAGCGGATGACATGCTTCCTCTTTGAAATGCCCATAACATCTTTTACCATTGTCAACATGGCTGTTCACGCTTGTCACACAAGAAGGGACGTTTTACATCACATTGCCACTGCTTTACTCTTGGCACATGGAACTCTTTGCTTATCTGAATCAGAGATATTGTCGTCAGATCATGAACAAGTTGAAGCAGCATGGATTTTCGTCAATCCGTTTGGTCTAATCCACGATGAAGTAAACGTGTGTGCTAAAATAAGGTGGGTATTTGTTCATGTAGGTTTGAGATAGCAGTTGCCCGGGGGGAGTGGGGGAAAGGGAATGGATAGGTAGGTGGGGATAAAAACTCGACCATTTGCTCACCTGTGAAATTGAATGCTTGATTTAGGTTTCACAGGTTTCATAAGGATTATGTTGAAAGTCAGGCCTATTTTGTTCATTCACTATAAAATCCCAGACATTAAGAAACTCAATAGATGGGTGGAAAAGGGGGTACCTGAGTGTCCGACAATTTTGACTGGTAACCCATGGGTTTACAAACTATGTTCTTTTATTATGAACCATTGTCAGTGACAATCACCAAGGAGTTATTTTTGTACACGTATTTAGCTTAGATTTGGCAACCAGTTACAAGACAGAAGGTGAACTGATGGACGAGTGTGACTCGTTTTACCCTTCTGCGACGTGCCATGCTCTCAGGTAAGGGCAAACAGTGGGCGTATTATGTAGTTTCTGAGCAGTTAGCCTTATTTCATATAAGGATGATTAATGCTTTATTTTAAAGTTCAATGACATGGGTACATATTATGGCATGCAAATCATAAGATTACTCTAAATGTGAATGGTTATGATAACCCATACAGGTGTTAAAAGTTTTCAGTTTTGTGTCATAGGTCAGGCGTTATCTCTGCTCCTGATTTGTACCTGAGGGTGAAGAGTTACGGATGTTGTGATGGGTTCTTGCAGGAGGGTGAATCCTGTCCAAAAGGTAAGATATTCCAATTTTACATGAAATCGGATAATATGAAATCCACAGGTGGATTGGGAACTCGGATGGCTAGAGGACTTGACTGCCACTCCTTGTCTTGGGTTTAGTCATAGAGCTAGGACCAATTTCTGTGGGTTATTGGTGTGATCCAGTTCTTCTTCCACAAATCCATTAAAGGGCTCATCACTAAAAGTTGCACAGTTTTGTTGACACTTTTTAAAGTGCGATGACCTGTCGGTTGTTATCTGCTTTAGGAATAGAAAGACTGGTTCGCTTCATTTGAGAAGCGGCTTGTTGAATATCTTTGCCACATTTTAGCTTTGAATGTTTTAAAAAATAATTAACGGTAAGCAGTAAATCACCATTCCCCTTTAGAAGTTTGATCTGGTAATTGTTATTTATCGGTGTCTTTTCATGCTTTGTTATCGTTTTCCATTTCCAAAACCTTGTGTAGTTTGTCCAGCCTTAACTTACGGCCGTAATTGTACCTTGACGTGTTACTGTCTGAACGACGGTGAGTGTAACCACACCAACGGTTCCTGTGATTGTAAGCCAGGTTGGACTGGTCAGCACTGTGAGCGGACATGTCCAGATGGCTGGTATGGAGATGATTGTGGAAATTCTTGTCCTTGCCAAAATGGCGGTTCGTGTCACCCAGTCACTGGTAAGCCAAATCATGGAACATCTGTTGTGATCTGAAGGTTCCAGAGTGTCTCAATTCGTCATAGTTCATTGAGTTATTTCGTTATTTTTATAACTCTGGAGTATTTTATTCACATTACCTTTATTTTGTTGACAGGTAGCTGCCTGTGTCCGATCGACTTTGCTGGTGATCTTTGTCAAACAAACTGCCAGGCTTCCTCTACCAATTCAAGTTGCCAGAGCGGGAGCGTTGCTTTCTGTAGTTTGTGCAGCCCGGAGATGTTGTTCTGTGACAATATCCTGGGCAGGTGTGTATGTCAAGACGGATGGCGAGGGAGGTACTGCACACATAGTTGTGATAATGCCACACAAGGATATCTCTGTCGGGAGAATTGTCAGTGTGTCAACGGAGCATCTTGTCAACCAACGGACGGGCGATGCACCTGTCTGCCTGGGTGGGTTGGGGACTACTGTGATAAACGGTGTCCATCGGGATATTTTGGTGATGATTGTCAACAGCAGTGTAACTGCCCAGAAGATGATGGTTGTGATCACGTGGGTGGCACCTGCTTCAGCTGTCCCAAGGGATGGAAGGGAAAATTGTAAGTGTTTTTTTCAGTAATTGCTTTGGAAATGCATTATGGTGGAAATGTGACTTTGTGGCCATATCAGGAGTCATATGTCTCAATCTCCGTTGTCGTGCAACGCGCTTCATGAATGGCGCCCTCTTTGTTAAAAGACTGTCATAACAATTATCATTCACAGCCATAAGTGAAAAGGATGAAAAGTATTCTCATGAACATACTGCATGAGTTGATGGAAATGTTGTAGTATTAGAAAAAAAAAATTGGTGTAACTGTTTTTCCTTGCTAATTTGTATCTTTCCCAAGATGTACATTACCATGTGAAGACAACCATTGGGGTGAAAGTTGTTCCCAAACGTGCATCTGTACAGAATCCGAGCAATGTGAGCCTATCAGTGGAACTTGTTTAGGTAAGAAAACATTATCTTTTGGCATCTTGATCGTTCCCTTTCTCTACAGTAGATTTACAGCTTTAGATCTCAAGAAGCACCGTTGTGTGCACTGGAATGCGTAGGCCTATCTGTTTAATTTATTGTGAGAGTAAAGTGTGCATGAGTTTCAAACCTGGTCAGTTTAGTTCCATTACACAAACTCGACTACTCCTATGTAATACCGTTAATAGGGGAACAAGCCCCGAAGATCCGTTGAAGGAAATGAATCCAATTTGTCTTGAAAAGAACGTCTATTCAGTAAGGTACACGACAGCATCGGGTGTTTTCAGGTTTTAATATGCTTCTATATACAAATGAATCTCACTAGTTTTGTTCATGGACTTGACAATTACCGACAATGCAATGAAGTGTGTCCATAAAATTGCTAATGTCTTCCATGCGCACGGAGATAGGCGTGACAGAGAGATCTACATCTGTGATACATGCATTTGATCGGGACGTCAGAAAACGACGTCATATATCCATGTGAATTTTCTCTAGCTTCTAAATGAACACAGTGACGCGCAGTTTCGCCTTTCGAAAGGATAATTAAACTCTCATTACATCTATAGTTCCATTGGAGTGATTGAGATTGTGGTAAGATTATTATTATTATTATTTTAAAAATTTTTGGTAAGTAAAAGCAACATTTTATCGTCTAGACTTGTTCATTATGACTGATAAAAAAACAAGATTGTTGACAGCATGTGGCGACATTTATTCGAGATGATTCGGGGTCATGATATCAGCTTCTCTGCTCTGGTTCTGTTTGCGTCTCTCTTTTGGGGTTATGCGACATGTTCCTTTGTCGTTCTCGTCGAGTCAAGTGAACATGGGAAGAGTCTCAGAAAAGACAGAAAAGAAAGGATTAAAATTTGAAATTCCGTAATCATTGTTCTTGTATTTTCGTAGAAAGTGGCATGGATTTGAGTCCTGGGGTAATCGCAGCGATTGCCGCGTCGGTCGCCTTCCTGTTGTTCGCCATTATTATCACGGCCGTGTGCATCTTGTGTAAATACAATCGTCCTAAACCAAATACGTAAGTAAACTAAAATAACTAAAATGTGAAGTTTTATTTTCTGCTTTGATGATAGAAGACGTGTTTAAAAAACCTAGAAAATTCCTGCAGTATGGTAACACAATTATGTATCCTCTTGGATTGCAAACAACGGGGCATAAAAACTCTTGATCAGCTACAGGTCTAGACAAAATGTTTAAACTTAAAATGGAAATTATCAATGAGTGCCTTTTTTTCTTTAAGTACTTTCGATAACTTTGGCACGTTGCTGGTACAAAATTTATTTGGAGCCATATACTCAATCAGGCAAAGAAGAAGTACACGTAGATATATTTTTCAGTACAACAGCGGATTCAATAAAGGAACAGGTGGATTTTGACGTCCCTCACCCATTTGACCATGCATCTGCTATTTATATCAGGTGATTATTCATAATTGCTGTCCTTACAACGTACAGACCAAGTGTGGCACTTGTATCACAAGCCAACGGAACTTCGAACCCCATGTCACGGATGTCCCTTCAGAGCAGTGTACCTCATACTAACGGTACAATAAGATACCAGGCTGGGAATGTGGATTTAGGTGAGTTCAATTCTGACAGCAAACTAGACATGATTCAAGTTACGATATATTACTGGATACGATGGCACATTCCAAAACTGGTAAATAAAATAAGCCCCTTTCCTTCCCAAGTCTGGTTTACCGTTTGACATACATGTCTTAATTCATTGCAATTGGAATTGACAATCGATACACACGTTCCTTAGTATCCTGCATAAGCACATTGAAACCTGTTTGATAAATATGTCAATACTTTACATACAAATAAATTTTTGGGAAGTTGCCATTTAACTGCATCGAATTGATAAGGATCATCCATCTTAAAGACAAAAAGTAAAAAATTCGTGTCTTTTTAGACTCTGGTTATAAACCTCAGTTATTTGAATCGGTGTTTGTCTATTCGTTTGTACCGTAGCACCAACCCCTTTGCCCCGAAATCCAGCCACTTTCACAAGAGATGTGACAGATCCTAACAACAGCTTAGGAGGGTATGAGACTATACGCAGTGATGTCGACCATGATCCCCGATTTCAACCCTCTCCCAACTCATACATCGACATCTACGATGAAGTCCAGACAGGTACGGTTGAAAACCCCACGTACTCCGGAATAGATGCTGATGGATATGAGATACCATCAGTGACGTTGGAGAGAGATGTGGAGCGACCAAGTGCCGGTGGAAACGCTAGGATGACCAACTCTAATGTGGCAAAAAGGGATGGTTTCTGATAAATGAAGCGGTGAAATCGACGCAGATAATATGGCTTGGATAGGGTAAAGCGAATGTTTACCGAAGATTATTTTTATAGTAAGTACAGCGCCCTCTTGCGTCCACAGTACTCAAATATTTCTGTGACAATCATTGCGTTGGAGAGAGAAATGCGCATGGAAAGAAAGTGTTGCTGAGCTAAGGCAGTGTGAACAAAGACCAGAAAATAACTGTGTGTGTCACTTTCAGACCGAATCCTGTTTAAACACTCCGTATTTTTGCAGCGCAAGAGTTTAGGACTTCTCTTGTTTGGTTCCACTCTTGATGCCCATCTCAAGACACAGTTCGTGTCATTTCCCATAGTTTGGTTCTAGTTTGGGCATAGCTATGGGCAGTTAGGGGGCTACTTAGGCCCGAAAAAATTAACCAATACGTGACTTCATTTATATAAATAACCTTTTAAGGTCAAACTAGCTTCAATGCAACTCATAGTCATCATACAGTTATAAAGAGCATTTTTACCTATATATTGAAAGATTCAGAAAACTTAAATCTAAAGAGCAAGATCTGCTTGTGAATAATTTCAATCCATAGTTGTCCGACACTACCAATTTTGGCTTCATTCCCTTTGTACATACATGTATATATGCTTGTTTACAAAGTCTCCCCTTCAGTATCAACACCTATCCGTCACCATCTCACCAGATTCTTGATGGTGTATCACTCACTTTTCAAATATTTACTACTCTGAATGCATGCAGATTTTACCACTTGGACGTTTTCAAAACTGTGACACCATAACAGAAAGTTAAGATCTTACAGTTGTATTGTGGAGAAAATGCGGAATGATATTGAAGGTAGTTGATATTGTAAATAACTTAATTCAAAGTACATGGGCTTGTTTTTATCTATCACGATATTAAAATATGTGTCTAAAGAGATGGTATTTACCCAGATTTTAAACATCTATGTTTTAATATTAATCTATTAGTTACTTTCAATCGTTTCAAGAATTTATTCGCCAAACGATAACGTTTGCTATACATTTATTACATACATTGTACAATGAATATCCCATTTACATATACCGGTACTTAATTTGACGCTGCTGGAATTTGAAAAGTGAAATAATATGTCATTTCATCTATTACTTACAAATGTGTTTGTTTCAGCTGATTTTGTTTGTAAGTCCAACAATCATCACCCAAATCAAAAATGAGTTTACAGTCATCGTTGCATTCATTATGTTTCTAAATTTCTTTCATTTTAATTTGAGACGTTTGTACTGTTTAGATACGCCGTGTGTCAATTTATTTGACGGAAGAATGTCTGTCACTGTTCATCACCAGCATGGTATGATCAATTCTTCTGGAGCAGACTGTTGATATGAAACGTCATTAAAAAAATTAACACATCTTCTTGGTGTGTTCCACCAACAAATATCTACACATGCAAAACTTACATGATCTGTCAACAAATTTTACATGTATTTGGTCACTTAATAAAAAAAGAAAGTTGTGTTTAGCTACAACCGCTAGCTTTGGTTGGCGCCAACTACAAGAATTTTCAACTTGTTATGAAGTGCCATAAAAGGTTAAACGGAGAAGCTACGGGAGTACTGTACCTGTGAATTCTGAAGGAGTTCCAAGTATAGAAAAAGTGGATCCAATTAATGGGAGCTTCTTGTGACTTTCTATTGGTACTGCACCAGTGACCTGACAGCATTTTGATAGCAAAAGCATGCCATTCATGGATTATTGCCAAGAATCGGGGGGGAAATGACACTGGACAGAAACGTAACAGACATGTCAGGTCCTTCGTGATCTTCATTACACATGCCACCAAGCAGGAAGAAAATGAAGTGCAGATGTGAATTTCCTGCATAACCTTGAAGTCAGATCTATGATGGAAACCTGGCAAATTTAGATTGGATCTTGATCGTGACTATACTTTTTGATAGTCAACATTAATCTGAACAATTGGTTCATCAAAGGTATAGGTCAGTTATTTTGTCATTTTAAGTGAACGCTATAAATGTTTAGATTTCTTTCTCTTAAAAGTACATTGTTGCCAGTTGTTCTAACAGCAACGACGTACTATTGTGGTAAATTCTCTACGGCTTCATTTTTTCCAGGCGGCAGCATTTTTATGTAGTGCATGCAAGACGAAGATATTGTGTATGCGGTCATGTATAGTTATCTCGTCTTGTTTGTTGTTGCGGCGTTTGAAAGCTGTGAAGGAACCATAAAACGAACTTACTTCCCCAAATCCTCTCTGGTTGGGGATAGGCATGTTTCGCATCACGACTTTCCTGTGCCACGGCAGTCATTTACGACTTCTTGAAATGTGAATAGGAAATGAAAGAACCAAGCAAGCGGAAGATTGCATTCGATGATGGTCACGCACGTCGTTTTCGAAGTCTGAATTGCCACCAAATCTCCCACTGTCTTGGCATCAAATGACAGTAGTGATGAATAAGGTTGTTTCCTGAGCACAGCATTCTAGTAAATGATCGAACATGATGATTTCCTAAAGGATGGATGACACAGGAATGGAGGATGCTTATCGATAAACTCTGTGGGGAAAACCCAATCATACACTCCATGGCACATTTATGCCAACTCAATTGTTGCCCATTTGTTTAGCAAGGAAATTACAATTTCCTATCCAAGATAACATGCAACCTCAATCTCTTAGATTCTGATAGCAACAGAGGCTAGAACTCTAGCAAGTACCCCCAGTATTAACCGCTTCGACCCTGAATTTAGGTTTGCATTCGAAGTACTTTGTGACGGCTTGGAATAGTAGAAGTCCAACTGGCTAGTGGTTATGGGCTCTGTGCTGGACCAAGAGACAGTAGAAATTTCCTGGCAATGGAGGCTCCTTTGGTAGTACTTGCGCATCGCTGTTTCACGAACGACTGTGAACGCAAGCGTTGCAGTCGCATCGCTACCAACAAAATGGGCACTCCCGACCAACATGGCTCTTTTTAGCCGATGAGGGGGCGCTCTTATTCAGGGCGGATAACCAATGCCAATCCGCCAATCCCTTCATCGATTGAAAAGAGCCATACTGGTCGGGAGAGTCCATTTTGCTGGTAGCGCCTGTACTCGAATGCAGCTCCGGTTTAGGAAATCCCTGGTCTGTTACAATTTGTTAACTTGATGAAAGCACACGCAAGTACCAATGAGATACTTGCATTTTTTTAGACCAGCTCCCTCCCAGCCGATTGAGTCTTGGATAGAATGGGATGGGATCCAGTCCATCACGCTTCTGTTTTTATTCTGCTATTCGCTGTTCTCTTGATAGACTGAAGCCACGCTACTTCTATGTGGTTTGGCTATTTTCTGTAGGCAAGTAATTCGGACGCGACTTAGCCCCTCCTTCCATCAGTTCACTCGCACGTGTTGATTTTCTGTTGTAAACAATGAGAGACAAGCCAGACCTAGCGAAGTTTAAAGGAACCAGGAAATAGAATTTTTAAAATACATTTTACCAAAACCCCTCGAAATTGCATCTTTGGGTTTCATTTAACCTTATTTTAAATCTTTGTTTTGCAGTTTTAACCCATATTTTGATGTATTTGTTTTTTTATGCTCATGCATATTTGCATATTCATGAGCAGAACCAGGCTAGATGTCATCCAAGGCGCAGAATCTCAATGTTGCCCTGATTTGTGCACAGAAAATTTCTAGAATTTTTAACCACTACTATGGCAGATTTCATTTTCTTTGGCAATTTATTGCTGTGTAAGTATATGGCAATAATCCGGCAAAAACCCTTATCAAAGAAATGTTCCCAGATAGCAAATTTGGGGTTCGCAATTCGAACATGAAAACATACAACTTGGGCTGGATTCACATCAAAGCAAACTTGTCCAGAAGTGCTTGTCAATTTTCCAATGTTTGAAAAAGTGCACCGTTAAGTTCACGTAACTCAAAAAAGATGTCAAACAGTCTTCATACATGGAAGAAGAGTACAGAGATACACAAAAAGGGATTCTAAGAAAAAATCATTTCTTGGATCCTTTAAGTGAGCCACTTGTAATCTCCCCGTGCTTGCATCGCACTTGCACCGATGTTTATTCCTTATCTGGAACTCAAAAGGAACCTTGGCAGTACCCTTGTGTCTCCTTGATGGCCTGGCATTGACCTCATTAGCTCATCCTGCACGGGAGACACCTGAAGCTATCTGTTTCCTCCCTTCCTAATACTATAATTCATATTCCTGCAGACGTTGTCTTCTTAGTGCTTGAAAAGCAGTGCCCAGGTCATGTTTATAAGTGCTGTGGATGGCGGGGGGTCATATGGTAAAGAAAGGGGAAATGGCTGTCATGTCAGCTGCCGACTTACCTTCAGTTGCCATGCACCAACTTACCCAGTCTGTCATATTCCATCTATATCTGAGCTCGTATTCTAACGAAATGTGTGGGGTTGGTTTCTATCAATCCTTGCCCCAAAATGGCGCAACCTTCTGTCAAGCCGATTCCGCTCACGTGTATTTTAGGGTCGGATGGCGGCAAACGATCGGGTAATTTGTTGGTTATTGATAGTAAAGATAGTGAAATGGCTCATAGAAAACGTGTAAACAAGGAAGGACCGGCAACTCCCACAAGGAAACTGGAATGTCAAACGGAAAAACCCACAAACCCTCCTAGTATATCATGCGTGTGGAAAATAGGGGCCTTCTGCTTAAATCTGCACAAAAAAGCCCTTCGACCATGGTTCAACGGATGTTAAAACTCTCTAGAGAAAACGCTTACATAGGCCTATAAGAAAAAAAATCAATGAAACTTTAATTTACACAGGAGTACATATAAATTCTGCCGTCAGGTGTTGCAAGCACATTATCCAGATTCCCCTTTGCGCCGTCCAATCATATTTCTTTATTTTTAAACCAAACCCATGTTAATTAAAAACTATGCAATAAAAAAAGGTTTATCTTTGCTTAATTTCAGACTGTTGTATGGAATGGTTCATTTGTTCATATTGTTTGTTAAAAAGTAAAGAAACAGTTCCCCCAGCAATAATCAAGATGCACAGGTTTCCCCATTGTTATCATCTGAACTCTAAAACCATATTGTCATGAAATCTTTTCTTAGAAACACAATTTTTAAGACCGTCTTTAGGGATTATTCATTTTTTTTAGTTTCTAACTCAATGGTTTAGTAATTATCAGCTGATGACACCCTCCGATCTTGAACCGTCATAATCCATTCATCCGCTCTAATCCTCCATATAACGTACGGTAATTAGTGGGATTATGGAAGAGGATAGAAACCAGTTAGAATGTGGCTGATCTGTTAGCTGTAGCTTGAAGCGGCCAAGATACGTTACTTATATACCGATAGGCTCTGCTAGGTTCCACCTCAGTAATTGGTCAGTTTTTATTCCTGGGTGACTTTCATTATACATAAAGCGCCTCGCTGTTAATTCTCGGCCAAGCCTTGGGAGAGCTACACATGTTGAAATTTTTCATGTAACCTTGTGGGGCCTTTGTGAAAGGCAAAGCTACATTTTGGGGCTTTTCGCAAGCTTTTTGAATGAAGGGAAATAAAATCGACCCAAAATTCTCCCTCCAGTTTTTACAAACCTTAACCCCTAGAGTGTATGTAAAATCAAAATTGGAAGATTGAGTAGTGGTAGGGTTGAAAACGTCTTTTGGGAATGGCCCCTATTGGACATGTACATATCTTAAATAGTCAGCTTGAGACTTACTCCTGATTTCGATGTGCTGGGTCACATGTATGTTTTGCCTATGTGTCACTTTGGACTGGAGTTTGTATGGTCATTTGAATATAAAAAATTTAAAGGTATAAATCGGGGGCCCGAATATTCTCATATTGTATGTCATTATTTAGTGTACGGTATTCGACAAATAGGGGACACAAAAGGTAACTGCATTATGAGCTGAAACTCATAGCTCGTGTTTCTTTGTTACGAGGTCTGAACGTTCACTGCGTCGATTTCATGAATTCACGTATAGGACGGACCTTGAATTTGCAGGTGGTGCCCAAGGTGATGGAATAACACCTCGATGGGATATGATGGGGCGCACTCACGGCATTATTTTTGTGACGGTACGTTCTCGCTTAGTCACAGCGGGCTGTACTCAGTAACTATCGTAGAGATTCCACGGTAAATCAAAAGG